GTATACGAAGGCGGCGAGGGTGATGCTGATGAGAAAGGTGATGGTGCTGACCGCTCGTGGTGCAATCGCCGAAAAAACTAAGACGTTAGAGCTGGGCTGTTCGGAAGAACGGGCGCAATGATGATGAGGGGGGGCGGGGGGCGGGAGGGGGCGATGGCGCCCATCAAGGGTTGCACATTTCGCATTGGCTTCTCGGAAGCGTCACGTGTTACACCTCTGCCGTCTCCGAGCGAGCGAAGATGACAACCATATTCGCGGCGGTGACGGCTGCTCGCGAGGCAGGCGCCGACGCCGTCACATCGTGTCCTCCTTGGCACCTCGGTCGGTTTCAGACAGTCTGAGGCGCTGATGATGGTGGCGTGGAAGGCGGGGGTGGTGAAGTGGAAAACGAGACCATTTACATGCGACGCTTTCCGCCTCCCACTTCCGATGCGCCGAACGCAGGTTTGAGAGAGTGTTTCGGGCGATGCGCCCATCATGGGGCAACCCTGGGGGGCCCCGCATGTCGTTTCCAGCGTGCGCCCTCTTGGGGGCGGGCCGATACCGTTCCGAAACAACGTCGGCCAATGGCCGCGTTGCATCCCCCTTGCTTGAGGACGTCTCATTCGAAATTGCACTGGCTGGGGTTTCGAGAGCCTGACCGCCTTTGTCAACACCAACGCTTTGAACATGTATCATGCGAAACGCTTATGTTAATCACGCTGCGTCTTAAGTTAAGACACCCCCACCTGTCGGGTTTCGCAAATATGTCTCAAGCGAAGCGCTTAGTTCCCAGGCGGCCGATGCATGCGGCCCAGTGCTAGAAGAGGGGCATGGTCACAGGAGCGCAATCAGAAGCCATAGCAGACGCCACTTGGCATCCTAGCGCGCCTCAGCGTGCCAGGGGGCACGGTGGCGGACTGTGGGGTGAAGGTGTGTGTGCGTGCCGTGACGTGCCGTGCCGATCTGCGTCGTTGGCGCCGTGTCGCGCGGTCGTTCTGGGTGTGTCGTCCACCGCAGTGGTGCCGTGAAATATGAGCTGATTGATGGTGTTCTGACCGTGGGCAACGCATTGTGCAGTTAGGTGTCTACTTGGATATGCGAAGGGGCCTTCTTTGGACGGGGGGGGCATGGGCTTGGTATTTGATGGCCATGGGGTGTGTGCGAATATAGAGCTGGCGAGGGTGGCGCGCTAAGGTGCGCCAGGGTGACCAAAGGGTTACCAATTAGACACGCACTGTCATTTACATCCGCATTTTGTTTGGAACTGAGTTTGTCGGTGGTTGACGGAATACTGCTTGCCGCATGCGCGCAATTCACGTGTATGTCGTATTAATTGCCGCACATACAGTACGCCATACACACCGCACGTGGCACGCAAACAGATCAAACTGCACGCGCGCAGCGCGCGACCCATACTGCACACAAGCGCCTCGCACGGCATTGCACACTTGCGGCTCCAATGTGCGCTACGATCTCACACGCGCGCGCAGTGTGCACACGCGTGCGTGCGTTGCGCGCAACGCAGGTACAAACCAGCACGCACGAACGCACCACGCAGCACATGCACTCAACTTGCGATGAGCAGCAAGTCGGGTCAGCAGCAACGCGCGAGGCCGCGCGTTCCGAGATGCAGGCCGAACCAGCCACCTCGCTTTGCTCTCGGCGTAGCCGTGGCCGCTCGCCGCGGCTTGGTGACGGCGCCGAGTCGCCCCGCCATTCGACTTGGGACCTGCCGCTCGGCATCGGGCCTGCCTCGGCGCGCCCCCCCCGCCTCAGGGGCCGCGATGGCGAAGCCTTGTGCCAGCGACGTCTTGGCCCCAGGGGGGCCTGCAACCGCGACTGCGGTCGAGGGCACATTCTCTGATGAGCCCGCGGCCCTTGGAGAGGCCAAGCGCGATGCCTTGCACAGGTTTTACAAGGCTTCCTCAGCGGCCTACTTGGCACGCGATGAAGCTGGGGACCTCAGCGTTGCAACTGCGGCCGAAGAGCAGGCAGCGCTCGCGGCGCGCGAGCGCCACGAGGTGGCTCTCGCACGGACGGGGCACGTCGCGCTCTCCACAACACACGGCGCACAATAACCTCAAGGTAACACAGGTTGCAATAAACAACCTCAAATTCTTGACGCTTCGCGCATCCCCACCAGCCCATCCAGAAACAATCAGCAGGGGAGTTGGTGAATCAGGGGCGGCAGGACGCATGCAGTCGCGCAGCCGTCTTCGAGAACACAAGCATCACACATAGCTTCCCGCATTGAAGTTCAAGATGGAAGTCCGTGCAAATTACGATGGTGCTTCGATGAGAGGTGTTGGGTATTTCGATGGCTCGCAATGGCTGTTGCACTGGTTTGTATCTTAAGCTCGCGTGCGTTCCGAAACTTGGGGGCATCTTGGGGCCCTCTTGGGGTTCTCTTGGGCCCCTCTTGGGGTCTCCTGGGGCTCTTTCTTGGGGCTCTCCTGGTGTGCCCTTAGGGCCTTTTTGGGGCTTCTTGGGGCTCTTGTGGTGCCTTCTCTGGGCTTTTGGGGGGTATTGGGGCCCTCTTGGGGCTCTTTGGAGGGAGGGGTTTTGGGGGCCTCTCGGGGCCGTCTTGGCTCTTATGGCTAAAGAGGGTGTGTGTGTGTGTGTGTGTGTGTTCAATTCTTGCCCGCCCCCCTCGGGTGCTCAAAAATGCAGTCTTGGGGCCCTCTTTGCCAGCTCTTGGAACGTTATTGGGCGCTCTTGGGGCCGTCTTGGGGCTCGTTTGGGCCCCTCTCGGGGCTGCCTTGGGCCATCCTGGGGCCATCTTGAGGCCCCGAGGGCCCTCCGGAGGCGACAAAGCGATAAGGCAAACACCATTTATTTTCCTCAGGTTGCTGAAGGATTTTGGCCTCTTGGGGGGGTCCTTGGGGGCCTCGGAGGGCACTTGAAACCGTTTTGTGGCCGTCATGAGGCCTCCTGGACGCGCGTCGGAGGCCATCTTGACCCGTCTACCGCTATCTTGGGCCATCTTGTAGGCCATCTTGCGTTCTCGGAGGCCCTCTTGGAGCCATCTTGGGCCATCTTGGACGCTGCAATGGGCCCGCCCGCCCCCCCCCCCCGTCCAAATGCAGGGAGGGGTGGGGAGGTAAACCTCCCGAGCAGGGAAAGGCAGGAGGTTGGAAAAGGAAACGGCCTAGACCACCCGCGCCCAGAGGGCCGGTGGGATTTCGCCGCCAAGATGCGCCACGATGGCGCAAGCGCGGTGGTGGGCCAAGGAGAAGAGGGAGGATTGCGATGCGGGTCGGGGAGGGTGCGGCAATGAGGAGGAATGAGCCAAGGAGGTGATTATCTTCTAAGTCCTTTTTCTCTTGCTCGCAGTAAGAGCGCATTCCCGCGTGATATGTGAGGAGGTTTCTTGCGGTGAAGGTGGAGCGGTGAAGGTGGGTGCTGGGCGCCTCGCCAGAACGCACTGCTAGGTTTCGAGGAGGGGTGGGGTGTGCATCCAATGTTGGCCTGGGTGTGGGCCGACGCCAACGTCGAGCCGTGGCGCGATCGTGGCGCCGCTGGCGTTTCAGGCTCTAGACTCCAGCCGTTGCGTCGGCGAGGTTGGTTTCGCATGCTTGCCGTGTATATAGTATGGGTGATGGGGATCATGGCCCGCAACATGCTGGCGTTTGGGGGAACGCCGATGAGTCCGCAGGGAGTGGGGAGCTACGGGCATCCGGACGTCCAACGCCTGAGAGCTACCAGACTTCCAAAGCACCTCCAGCTGTGTCGCCGCGTGCCCAGCCGCCCGCCATCAGTGATCCAAGCGGCAACCCCGTTCCTGCTGCGCTGCCGTCGTCCGATGCCGAGGGCCACCGTCAAGGTCGAGATTGTGGCGCGCAAGTGCCGCTACCGCTACTCTTCGCCACTGCGAAACACAATGGCGGCGCGCTTCCCCCACGCGTCGCCATGCCAACGTCAATGCAGAGCGGCCTCATGCCAGCCGTGGTCCAGAACGCCGATGCTGCGCCTTCGCCGCCTGCTGGATCGACGCTGGGACCCCAGCATGGTGAGGTTGCACAGCTGTCGCCGACTGATCTCCGAGAGCACCGTTATCCAGGTCATGTTTGTGATGGGCCTCATCCTTCTGATGATGGGCGCGTTGTTCATAGCACCGCACCTGGTACGCTCGATGTCGGGGAGGCTGCCGACGCACCAGTTGACCCTCGAGAGGGCTTCTGCGCGCCACCCTGGTGGACTGAGGAGCTACGTGAAAGCCTCGAAATGTTTGATGTCAGCTTCCAGCGCTCTCTCGCCGCATGGCAAGAGTCCCGCATCTTATGGCGGGGGTGGAGCAAACTCATGGTCGCAGCTGGCAGAGGTGCTGAGCTCGACAGCACGAACCTGCACTATTTGCGCCTCTGGAGTTCCTCGACCGACGAGGCCACGGAATGAAACATCGGCCACGCCCGCATTGATGATCTTGAGCCCAGGGGCACCTTGGCTCATGACCGTTGCCGCGGTGGTGGCTGGTGTCACGCCGCTGGTTGGATGCCGAGCGCGCCGCGAGCAGCGGCGACACTGGCAACGACTATGGTGATCATAACGGCGCCGCACTTTCGGACACAACTTGACTTTCCTTGGGTGCCCAAATGGTAAATCTAGAGCCGAGGAGGAGGAGGGTGAAGATGCTGAGGAGGAGTAGGAGGCCGAGGATCAAGTGGGGAATCATGGGGGGCGATCAGCAGGAGGAACGCCTGGAGGATGAGGCTCAGGAGCGGGAAGGGGGGAAGGATAAGGACACGGGAAGGAAGATGAAGGAGGTGCAGTGCGGCAGGATTCATGAGAGTTCGTTTGTGTTTTGGCGTGCGGTCCTGGCTGGTATGTACATTATATATGCGTTGCACATAACAAGGAGAAGTACACGCTCCCAGCGTTTTTTTTCGATCTGGAGGTTCCCGATCTGTGTTTCCCTGGTTCCTTCGGTGCTTCCAGGGGTTTGGTTTCTTGCCGATGTTGGGGGGCCAAGGGTTTCTGGGAGGGGGCTGTTCTAGGTGTGGATGCTCTGGCCCCGACAGGTTGAGAAGGCGAAGCAGCTTGCGCCTGACAGGATCCTCGCTGCAGGGGAGAGCGATCGTGGCAAAGCCTGGACCATCATGAAGGCGAACAACATCGCTCTGCCCGTGGAGTCGGAGGCCGCGCTCCTGGGCGAAGCGGCCACGTCGGCCAGGATGATTGCCGAGAACACCAAGCAATTCAAGCAGCTGCTAGACATCATGGCCATCTTTGCGCCTGATGGTGCTCCTTTCGATCTCCACAGGCCAGTGCTCGGCGCCATCCGTGACATGTCTCTCACTGACAAGCTTGCGAGCTTCAACAAAGTTTTGATCGAGGAGACCTTCTGCGATTTTGTCATCCAAGGGAAGACGGGGGTTCCTGCCACTCTGGCCCTGGCTGAGGCGTACACCACCTACTTGGAGGAGGCTCTGGTGACCGTCCCCGAGAACGCTAAGTTCCTGAAGTTCGCAGGGTCCAGTCTCGATACGATTCGTGCAGTTGTGGCTTTGACCGAGCCGACAGTGGAGTCGGTATGTGCACACGCGCAGGAGGTGAAGGAACTCAAGGATGCAACTGGTAAGTCAGGCAATCGGTGACGCTGCGCGTTTCCCCCAGGAGGAGAACTAGGAGGCTAACAACTGCTGGCCGTCGGCAGTTGTTATCTTCCTCTTTCTTGATTTTCCTGATGGTCCTCCTTCTCCTCCCCCTCGTCCTCTTCCTCCTCGTCCTCCTGGTGGCGTCTTGGAGGTCACGTGGGGCGCTTGGGTCGGCTCTTGAGCCTTCGGGCGGGCGCGCGGCGCGCCGCCCGCTTGCGGCGGGCCCACGGTGATATTGCAAGACGGGCCTTGGCGCTTTCTCTGAGGATATCGGCCACGGAAGGGTGATTTTCTAAGTGGCCCCCCACCCTCAGGGGCCCAAGCAAATCGCAACTTGGACCCCTCATGTTGCGCTCTTGGAGTGCTCTTGGGTGCTCTCAGGGCCGTGTTGAGGCTCTCTTGGGTTTCACCTTGGGGTGAGGCCCTCTTGGGGCCATTTTGATGCTTCGTATGGCCACCAGAAGCGAAACTTTGGGACGGTCAAGCCAATTGGTTTCCTTGGTGTTTGAAGGGCGCTGGTCTCTTCGGAGCTCCCTGGGGCGCTCTCTGGCCTCTTGGAGCCGTCTTGGGGTTGTCTTGAGGCTTCTTGGGTCATCTTCGTAGCCATCTCGAGGCACCTTGCGCTAACCTGAGGCATCTTGGAAATCACCCTGGGCTCCCTGGGGCCCTCTTGGGGCTCTTGGGGCAGTTTTGGGCCCTCTTGGGTGCCCTGACCGTTCCCCCCCGCCACCTGCGCCCGCCCAGGTCCAGGGCAGGTGGCGGCGGGTGGGTGGTGTGGGGATAACCCCCTCCCCGAAGGGAGCTGGATTGAAAGAGGAAGATCGCTAATTAACAAACGCCCTAAAGCTCTAAAGGGCAGGTTGGATTCGTTCCGCACAGCGGTTGGCCAGGTGCTAATGAGCAGTGATTATTGGAGCGGCAAGATCTTCGAGTTTTTGGAGGCCGAGGCCAAGTGCGAGACCTCTCGCCCGCAGATCAACGAGGGCAGCAATCGCTTGGAGGGGGTCAGGGACATGCTCGGGAGCAACCCGACGGAGGCCTTCAATACGCTCGAGGAGGAGGCTCGCAGGTTGGCGCACTTCCGCGACGTGCTTCCGCAGGGCGCGCATGCCGAATACGAGAACTTGGTCAAGGTGGCGCTGTCTGACGTCCAACGGTTCTTCAAGAACTTGTGCTCCAAGAATGACCCGCAGTCGATGATCTACCAGGTGCCTGTGCAGAAAGCCCTCTCCGAGTGCACGTTGGCCTTCCCGTTGGACGCGGGCGTGTCTGCCATGAGTGACGAGGTTGGCCAGCTCATCTGCGAGACGAGCTACACGGCGTCGATCGAGAGCTTCTCCACGGCGTGCAAGCGCGCGTCTGGGCTTCACGTTGACATTTTTGGTCAGAGCACTGCTTGCAAGGAGCTGGTGGAGGCCCTCTCTCAGGCATCCAAGCAGAGCAGGACCAAAGGTTGGGGCGATGCAGTTGACAATGCCAGGGTTGCGTACAGGAGCCTTGTCAACCTCAGCGTTGGCATCAATGACGAGACGAAGCTGCAGGATCTATTCGGCGCTGTTCGGGTTCTCGGCGACACGCTTCGTGACATCGACGGTGGCGGGTACAATGAGATTGACGTGGCCCTCTCAAGCATTCGAGCCGGTGCGACGCTTCAGAGCATCGCGGACGTTGGCGCCGCAGACCTCCTCGTGACGTGCCAAGAGAGCTCGAGCTTGGTCCCCGCGGTGCGTCAGGAGATCGAGCTGCTGCAGAGGACCATCGACGGCATCAAGATTGCCGACGGTGATCTCGAGGGTGGTGCAGCGTTTCAGGCTTTGTACACCTTTGCCAAGACGGTCACCGACGCGGCGAAGGACCGCGTGAATCAGATTGCCAAGGTGGCGCTGGATGGCTTCGCAGCGTCGGCGAGACTCGCGGTGGATGACGTGCTTCGCGCGTCGGAGAAGATGATCAACGCGGATGCGTGGACCGCGCTCGCCGCCAAGACCACGGTGTGGGCCAAGTGGAGCGCCGAGGCCGTGCCGATCTTCAAGGATTTCAGGTCGGAGAACTTCAGCAGCCAGCTGGCTGCGCTTCACAAGGCCACGGCTTGTAGTAACTTGAGGTTGGCGTTCTGGGAGGTGGAGGGAGGAGTGGCACGTGAGTCGGGCGGGAGGATGGTTGGGGGGCCTCGGAGGGAGCGGGGGAGGATTGGGGTGAGAGCGGGCGGAGGAGGATGCGTTGTGGGGCGGTGGGGGTGTGGAGGGGCGGGAAGAGGAGGAGGAGGAGGAGGAGGGAGGAGGAGGAGGAGGACGACACCAACTCCCAAGTCGATAAGGTTACGAATTTGTCAGCCTCCTCCGCCTCCTCCTCCTCCTCCTCCTGACCCTCTGCTTCCCCCCTCCTCCCCCTCCTGCGTCGCCCCCCCCTCCCCCGTCCATCCTTCCCTGCGTCATCCCTCGCCCCTCCCCCCTCACGCCTCCTCACTCCTCCTTCCCCCTCCCCCCTCCACCCTCCCACCACCCCCCCCTGCCCCCTCCTCTCTGCCGCCCGGCCTGCGCAGGCCAAGGCGGATTACGGCGCCGCGGGCAAGGCCTACGGCTGGTCGACTGACGTTGAGTTTGTTGACGAGATGTCAACGGTGTTTCAGAGTAGTGTGTTGCTGCACGCCAGCGCCAAGCTGGTCGATGCCCTTGCTGTGAACGTGCCAACGACTAAGTTGGCCATCAGGGATGCGGTCAAGCATGCCCTCGACAATATCGATCCATACGGATCTGGCGTTGAGAAGAGCATGCTGCCAGCAGCGCTGCTCTCGCGCGCCTCGGAGGCGCTTCGCTTGCGCTAGGCCGCTCGTGGCCGATAAGACGTGTGCGGAGGAACAGGAGGGGGGCCACGCGGTGAGAGGTGGAGGCGGAGGATTGGGCGGGAGGATGGGGGGAGGAATGGCGGAGGATGATGACGACATCAGGGGGAGGAGAGGATGATGAGGACATCAGGGTGTGAAGGTGAGGCCGACGATGGCCAGGGGGATGTTAGGTGCTCATGGTGGCAGCGACGTGGAGGATGAGAGGCACGAGGGCGAGGAGGATGGGAAGGGCGACGAGGAGGATGGGGATGACGTAACCATAAGGATGATCAGGAGGAATAAGACGATGAGGAGGATGAGGGCGAGGAAGAGGATGGGGAGGACGACGGGGGAATGGCGGTGAGAAGGAGGAGGGAGATGAGGATCACCCCAAGGTCGATGCGGCCGAGTTTTTAATTGAACGAGTTGCGAGCAGCAGAGGTTGCCGCTCGCAGCAGGAGGCTGGATCTGCGGGGCACTCGGCACGCGGCTCGGCTTGAGAAAACATCAAAAGTGTTGCAATCCATACACCACCGAGGTTTCATTTTTTCGGTTTCGGCCTCTGTCCTTCCTTCTGCCGCCGCTGAGCCCTGGTGATTCGCCCGAGTTGTGCTGGCCCTCTGCTGCGCAGCTGTTCTGTAGAAGCCTTCGGATTCAGACGGCGCCCAAAGGCTGACAGAGGGGCCACAGTGGAGCCCCAACTGCCACATTCCAGGCGAAGACCTGGAGCTTGCTCGTGAGAAACAGATGTGCGACTACGGAGGTTATCGTTCGCAGTCCTTCCTTTGCAGATGTGCCATGTCCATGGTCGTTCGCTCTTATCCTCCCTCCAGCTTCCTCCCACCCTTCTACTATTATGACTACAATATATAGTGGCCTTCGGCTAGTCCCGCCACCGTGACTGGGTCGTTGGTCAGAGACCTCATGCACGCTGGTCGGATCAAGACGGCGGCCCCCCCAGGGGCACCTCGGAGCAGGTTTTGATGTATCTTGGGGTCCGCTGTGGGGTCTCTTGGGGTTTGCTTTGTCTTGGCGCGTCTTGGCGGCACCTTGTGCCGCCTCAGACCCAGCTGTGGCGTCTTGGGGCGATCATCGGCTGCCCCGAAGGCCTCTAGCCAGCATCTTCGACGAGCGGCGCCAACCGATGGCGTGCCATGCGTTTGCGCTGTGGCCTGGCGCTGTGGGGCTTGCGTGGGCGCGCCGCCTGCGGGGCGCAATGGTTGCGCGGCGCAGTTAGCATGGGGCGCGTAATGCAGCGCCTGCTATTCGTTGCAGGTTTCGTGGCGTAACTTTCGCGGTGTAGGCGGTGTGATAAAGTCGGCGTTGCGCAGCGCGGTAGTTAGTTCACGCGCGCGTGGTGCCATCTTGCCTTGTGCCGAGCGCCGCCCCGCGCCTTGCCATTTCTCGAGAGCGCCCGCCATGTGCTTGTGGCCTGTCTGTCGCTTGCAGCGCGCGTGCATGGTGTTTGGTTTTTGGCCGCGTGGCATCCCGACCGCGCGCCGCGCGCGCGGGGCGCCCCCCCGATTTCCGCGGGCACTTGCGACACACAGCGCCTTGAAACATTCACCGCGCGCGACGCGTTCGCGAAGCGCCCGCGCGCCCCCGCCACCCAAGTTTTTGGCGCGCCCGTTTCGCGCCGAGAGCTCGCCGAGCGCCCATGGGCGCTCGCCAGGCGACATCCCGACCAACGCTCTTTGCGCGATGCGTGTGTTAGTTGTTCGCGGGCTACATCGCGTGATTGCCAGCCTTGCCGATCCGCGCGTGGGGCGGCGGAACGGCGCGCTCGGTGTTGCAGTAGGCACGCGGCAGTCGTTCGACTGTTGCTCGTGCGGGCGCGGGCAGCGGTCCGCATTTCCGCCGCCGCCCGAGAGTGGGCAGCACGGCGAGCGGTTGCCGTAGATTTAGCACGCGGCCAAGGGGTGTATTTAGTATTTACAGTGTCCGCGCCTCGCAGGTGCCACGCACGCGAGCGGTGGAGGCGTGGTGCCGCTCCTGGCACCGCGGCGCGAGCGCGGGGCAGGTCGCGGGCGCGCATTGCTGTTATCGGGCGGGGTCGGTCGGCGGAGGCCGTGTTTGTGTTGAAAACAACGAACGTGCGCGGCGATGGGCGTGCTTTTGACGCACGCATGCCAAAGGCAACGTCACGCGGGGGCCGCGGCCGTGCTGCGCGCATTGGCAGCGCGCGGTTGGTGGTCGGCGCGCGTGGTGTCCCAGGGGTGCAATTTGACCGCCGATGGCGGGGGTGTCATTGCTCCGCTTGCGAAGGCCCCGCCAAATTGGCAGCCGTGACATTGCTACCAGAACGCAAGACGTGGGCTGCAATGTGCGTTCGCCCCCCCCCCCCCCAGAGATCAACATGCAACGGCGGTGCGTGATGATCGCGCCTTCGTTGCCTAAAGGGGCGGCGGGGTTGGTGAGGCCGCCGTGCTTTTGCTGCGCGCAAATCGCTAGAGCGCGGGTGCCCGCCCTGCCATTATCGCACAAACGGTTGGGACCAACGGCTGGTGATGTCCGCGGTCTGGCAGCACCAGAGCGAAACGTGCGAATCCTGGCGACGGTTGTCGCCCGACTCGGCGGAGTCGCCGCGGCTAGTGGCGAGCCGTTCGCCTGACTAAACGCCAGCGCCCTGCCCCTGCGCGCAACAGGCTCGCAAGGTTCCCGCGCCCGCCCGCCCCTTATTTGCCGACCGAAAATTTGGCGACCTCGTAGGGCCCGCTGCTTGCGCAAGGAGCCCATCAAAAGTGCAGGGGTTGTCGGAGGGGTCTGACGCGTGTCCTGGCACGGCCCGCGATGGCAACCAAAGCGGGCCGTGCCGAAGTTTTTGGGCAACCTCAGGCCATCGTCGCGGGCCCCTAGCGGGGGGGGTGCAACGCAAACGTGGCATTGTTTGGTGCATCGCGCTTCAAGGCGCGCGCGCGGCGGTGCCCCCTGCGACGCGCTAGGTTTTGATGGGGGCAAAACAAAGTAGCTCGCGCCATCAGCTGCCTTTGTTCTGATAAGATCAACTGTAATCTTTTCGTGGGTAGACTTTCATCTTTTTTCAATCTTTTTTTAATCTTTTCAGACACAGTCTGGGGTAATCTTTTGCTTAACCCGAGGCCTATCTTGATAGAGATCTCTCATCGGATAGACTGTAGCAGGCTACCCGCGTCACAACCCTAGTGTTGCCCCTAGATAAGCTCTGTCACCACGCGCCCTGGGCACGTGGGCCTCTGGATCCTCCTCCTCCTCCTCCTCCTCCTCCTCCTCCTCCTCCCTCCTTCTCCCTCCTCCCTCCTCCCTCCCCTCCTCCTCCCCTCCTCCTCCTCCTCCTCCTCCTCCTCCCTCCTCCTCCTCCTCCCCTCCCTCCTCCTCCTCCTCCTCCTCCTCCTCCTCCTATTCCTCCTCCTCGCCCGAACGCTGGCGTGGTGAAATACCACTGGGACCACCTCGCTGCCCACGCCCTCCGCGCTGCACGCAGGCCGCCCGCCCGGGCACGGCCGCTCCCAGCCCCGGGCCGCCGCCCTCTCCCTCAGGCGGGCCTTGGGCGTGGCCTAATTAGGGGGAAAACAAACCTACCTCGCTTTTGACCACCCTCGCTTCCAAGAGATACCAAACGATGCCAAATTGCAGCCTGTACTGGTCAGGCCGCTTGACGAGGAGGCGCGTGGTATGGCTTGGTTTTGCCTGGAAGCGAAAGCGGGGTAGGTAATTCACGCTCTGATTAATGGGGGGGTCACACATGGGGGGGTCAGAAAAGGTCCCCTTTCGTGCCCCTTTCGGGCCCCTCCAGAGCCCCAGGGGGCTCGTTTAGGTGCCGTTTGGGTACCGTTTCGAACCACCCTCGCCACCCCCTCATGTATGACCCCCCCATTGCGCAGCGCCCAAGGGCCGTGGCGAGAACCCCGCGCCGGGAAGCGACTCCGACCCCGCTCCGAAACGCTCGGCTACACGCAGGAGTGGCCGCTGGGCAAGGGTGACCTCTGGTGCGCGGCTTTTTCGGGGCCGCGGGGGGACCAAGCACGGGCGCGCGAGGCGCCGCTGCCGCATCGCGTTCGGCGATGGGGGGGCCCCACTGGGCCCGCACCAAAGGTCACTCTGGCGAAGGGTCACTCTTACGTGAAGTCGAGGTTTTCGGGTCATAACTCTGCTCTCCAGCGGCCGTTCGGGACGATTCTGGCACCCCTGGAACGCCCTCGAGGAGGCGCAGCTGCTGGAAGGCACCCCGAGGCTGGAAAGCCGCCGAGAACCGACGAAATCGGCCAAACACCTCGAGCATCGAATGTCTAACTTCGTCGGCTAACATGAAGTCGACGAGAAGCGACTCCCGAGCCGTGGGATGCCCGCCCTCGCCCGGGCGACACCAAAGCAGGCGCAGGCCTCTTTTGTTGCCGTCGGCGGCGGGGCAGGGGCAGTCCGCTCCCGCCTCTGTGGCTCTCTGGGGCCACCTGGAAGGCGAACGGAACGTGTCCGGCGTGCAGGGGCGGCCGCGCGGGGGGAGGGACCCAGATAAGAAGAGCGCGCCGACTTCGGTTGATGGGATGAGCAGAGCGATGGAACAAAAAGAGAGAAGCACAACTCTCGATCAAAAGAGAGGAGGCCGACGACGAGGGCTTGCGACCCCGTGATCAGGGGACCCCATCGCGGGCAGCACCTGGCCAGTGGCACACCAATCAACGAGTGATTCATGAACAGGATGGGCCTAGCCCGCATAGACTGCTGGAGGGTCCGCGCGGATTTCCTCGGGTCGGCGCTGGGCCGTCCTGGCAGCGCCTCCAGCGACGCCCCTGCCGCGCTCTTCGTGCGCCGACCCATGACATTCGCGCGGATCTCTGGAAGTGTATGTCTATGCAGTCTTTTTCATCCTTCCTCTCGGCGAAGACCGCGGTGGCGTCGACTGCGCGAGTCTGGCTGATTGCGTTTAGTCAGTCGCAGCGAAAAATGGCAGGAACCACGAATGTCCTTGCCGACCAGCCCACGCGTCCCTCAGGATGCATGGCTTTCTCGCTTGCTTGCTTGCG